GTTTCTTGTCGTACCTCGGCCAACATTCCCTTGACCTTCCGTGATTGCTCTTACTTTGCCACTCTTTATTAGCTATCTGTCTAAAGTGGTCATGGATCCTTGTCTGGATCGCGTTTAGGGAGATTGGTAATTCGAAGTCAGAACTTACCCCCGCCGAGCCTGCACGGGTTAATTCGTCTGCCTTCTCATTACCTGGGATCTCGTTGTGTCCCGGTACCCATGTTACTTGTACCTTATTTTTGTCGGCAAGTCTATTAAGGGCCTTCTTGCATTCTGCCACTAGTCGTGGCATCGTTTTCACGGCAGATAGGGATTTTATAGACGCTTGGCTATCCGAGTAGATTCGAACTCTTTTGCCCCTGAGGTCCTGCCTTAAGAAAAGTTCGACTGCTTCCCTTATGGCTAGTAACTCAGCCTGAAAGACCGTCGCTGAGTTAGAGAGATTAAAAGCTTCCCTTATGGCTAGTAACTCAGCCTGAAAGACCGTCGCTGAGTTAGAGAGATTGAAAGCCTTTTCAATTCAACCAATTTTCAGCGAAGATCCCAGCCCCTACGCCGCAGCTCATTTTTGAGCCATCGGTGTAGAGGGACACCTCGTTCTCCACTACTACTCTGCCCCTACTCCTGTCATCCCTTGATGGGTATGATGTCGAGAATGCATTCCCGAATTTCATTTCCGCGATCATGTAGTCGGTCTTAACGTCTGTGTTAATGCCGCTGTTTCCAAGGATCTTGCCGTGCCCGGCGCCGTAGTCCCTCCATCAACTGCTCGCCTTCAGTCTTACTGCGCTCTGTGCCGCAGTGTCCTTCACGAACAGCTCTATCGGCATTATATCTAGGATAGCGTTGAGAGCAGCCGCGGGGCATTAGCGCATTGCACCCACGGCCCCCGCACTCGCTGCCCGTTGCATTCGTGTCAGCTTCGTTCTGTTGTAAGCCCTAGTTAGTGCCGGCCACCATACTAGGGCTCCGTATGTTAGAATTGGCCGTACCTCTGCAGTGTAGAGCCATAAAATTATCTTTGGGTGCAGTCCCCATTTGTTCCCAAACATTTTCCTGCAGGAGTAGAATGCAATGCTTGCTTTCCTTACTCTTTCTGCAATGTTATCTTTCAATGAGAGCTTTTTATCCAGAATAACTCCTAGATACTTCGCTCGCTCCGATAGTTTTAGCTCCATGCCGCTAATACTGGGCATGTTGAAGGGTGGTATCTTAGTTCTTCGTGTGAAGAGCATAAGTTCCGTTTTATTGGGGTTGATACCTAGTCCGCAGGTTTCTGCCCATTTGTTTAAACGACCTAGCGCACCCGTCATTATTTCACTAATAGCGTCAGGGTATGGTCCTGATACTAGCAGTACTACGTCGTCCGCGACGTCTGCTTTGACTCCACCCGTATTGAGATCTGTCAATATGGCGGTTATATTTGTGAGCCAGAGTAGCGGCGAGGTGTGTGAGGTGTGCCTCTCTTCACAGTCCGCGTGAGGTGAGTGCCACTCAGTTCGGCTGTGATCGTCCTACTCTTTAGCATGACCCCGATCCACTCTCTGATGCCTCTCTCAATACCTAGCAAGTTGAGGGAGCCCAGGATAGAGTCGGGGTTCACGTTATTGAACGCGCCCTCGATGTCTAGGAAGGCTGCCATCGTGTATAGTTTGTGTTGTAATGTCTTCTCGACATGATGTACAACTACGTGTAGCGCTGTTTCCGTTGATTTTCCTCTGCGATACGCATGCTGCGCATCCGAGAGTTGATGTCCTTCTAGAGACTCTCGGATGTGGACGTCCAGGAGTCTCTCTAGTGTCTTCAGGGTGAAGGAGGTGAGACTTATCGGTCTATAATCCTTTGCTAGGATGTGCCTCCTTCTGCCCGGTTTCGGTATAAAAATGACTTTAGCCTCTCTCCACAGCAGTGGGACGTGCGTCAGTCTTAAGCAAGCTTCGTAAATGGCTATTAGCCATTTGCAAATACTATCCTTAGCTGATTGTAGCATTGCCGGTATTAAGCCGTCTGGGCCCGGGATTTTATACTTATCGAAAGAATCTATTGCCCACTGAATTCGTTCAGTGGTAATGATGTCTTTCGTACTTGTATCCATTTGAGGGTTCCTTCCCTCCTCGGGTTCCGAGCTCACTCTTAGGCTTTCTGGGAAGTGGGTGTCAACTAGTAGCTCTAGTGACTCCTCAATTGTCGTCGTAGCAGAGCCATCTGCCCTGTTGATCAGGGTAGGGCTTATGTGCCCTTTGGCGAGGATTTTGCTTACTCTCGCCGTGTCCTTTATGCCTTCCACTGACTCGCAGTAGTTTTGCCACGACTCTTTCTTGGCCTTGTATACTGCCTTCTCGTAAATTCTTTGTGCCTCTTTGTATGTTCCCCAATCCCGGGTTACATAGCTGTGGTTAAAGGACTTTCTCGCGCTCTTCCTGAGCTCGCTTAATTCCTTTGTCCACCACGGTGGGTATTGCTTCTTCGAGAATGTTAGCTCACAAGTCTCTTTTAAGGCGTTGTTTAGAATATTTGTTAGGTCCTCAAAATCCTTGTCGAGTGCCTTTGCAGTGGATATTGTCTTGATCCCCCTGCCTTTTACTTTAGATCGGACAATTTCGCTGAAATTGTTCCAATCCGTCTTACGGGGGTTTCTTCTTGGCACCTGTTTCTTAACTGGTGTCGTTATTTCAAAGAAAATGTATCTATGGTCTGAGAAGGAGTAATTATTTTGTTCTATATGTAATGTGAGGTCTAACACCTCTTCCCAACCTTGAAAATTTACCGTGCTCGGAAAGATTAAGGTCAGGGTATTACCCCTATTGCATATCGTAACATTCCTACAGATAATATTGTCAAAGAGTGACTCACCTCTTTCGTTAGTCTCCGAACTACCCCAGAGCGTGTGCCTCGCGTTCGCATCACACCCGAGCACCAGGGTCGTCTTCGTCGCTTCCGCTCATTGCAGCAGCTTGACTACCGGCTCAGGCGGGGCCGGCTCGTCATGGACCTGTCGGTCACCATGTCGGCCAACTTGGCCTCGATCTCCTCCCACTTCTCCGACAGCAGGCGACCGTCGTCATGGAGCTCGTCCACCAGTGCCATAGCCAGACTGTCTCTGGCCACCTCGCTAAATTTCTTTGCCTTGCTGACAAAGTTAGTCGCACGCGGCTTACCCTGTGGGCCCTTCGCTCTCTTAGGTGCGCTATTGCTCACTTCCTGTGAGCGAATTCGCTTCGCCTTCGAGGGCTGGAACGCCGCCGGGTTTGCTGCTTTATACTGCTCATATTCCGCGATCTCCGCAAGGAATTTGCCGTTGTCCTCGGCATCCCGAGGGTCACTTTTGCCCTCAGGCTCGTTCTTGGCTATCTTGCCGAGAACGAAGCGGGCTCTGTTGACCCTCGCTCGTCTCTGATGGTGAGACATTTTCGCCATTTCTGAGGTGGTGCCCAGCTGAGCCCCACCTGTGTGTATAGATTGGGGAGTGCTACTCGCCCTCCCCTCGGATTGCGACTCGTCCTCGTCGGTCTCCGATGAAATGTGAGATGCAGCGACCAATCTCGGCCTCCGTATCTCCTTCTCGTCCTTCGTTGATATTGTTTGGGGTTTATCCCCTCCCGGGAGTTCCGAAGCTCGGGTTGTAGAAGTCATTTCAATACATGAAAGCTATGTGATATAGTAGTCCGGTTTTTTTCTAACTTTACACAAAATTGTAGATTAAAATAAAATGGCTATATCTCAGATTTGATGAAAATCTGGTGAAAAATGAAGAAGTTATAATCCTTAATTTTATTAATTTCTTTTATTTCTTATAAAATGGCTATGTATCAAATTTGATGCAAATCTGTTGAAAACTGAAAATGTTATACTTTTTAATTGAATTAATTTTTCGATCGATCCTATGGGAGCTATATAATATAGTCGTCCAATTTTCATACAATTTTACACAAAATTGTAGAATAATATGAAATGGCTATATCTTAAATTTGATTAAATTCTGTTGAAAACTAAAAATGTTATCGCCACCGCAATTGTCAGTCTTCCGACAACAGTCACCGCCATTTTCATTCCTCTCAAATTTCTCGATCGTTCCTATGGGAGCTGTATGATATATTAGTCAGATTTTCATAAAATTTTACACAAAAATGTAGAATAATATGAAACGGCTATATCTCAAATTTGATGAAAATCTGTTGAAAACTGAAAATGTTATACTTTTTAATTGAATTAATTTCTCGATCGTTCCTATGGGAGCTATATGATATAGTCGTCCAATTTTCATAAAATTTTACACAAAATTGTAAACAATAGTAAAATGGCTATATCCAAATTTAATCAAATTTTGTTGAAAACTAAAAATGTTATAATTTTTCTTGTAAAAATTTTCCGATCATTCCTATGGCAGCTATATGATATAGTCGTCCGATCCGGCCTTTTCCGACATATAGACGAGTGAGAGTACTAGTACGGAGAGACTAGTTTGCGTAGAAACGGCCAGACGGACATGGCTAGATCGACTCGGCTGTTGATCCTGATCAAGAATATATATACTTTATATAGACGGAGGTGCCTCCTTCACTGCGTTGCGAACTTCTGACTGAAATTATAACACCCTGCAAGGGTATAAAAAGGAGTAATTTTCCATGCAAAGTCAAGAAATATTTTAAATTTTCAGTGTGTAAACAGTTTCCAATTGAAATGTTAGAAAACAACTTCTTAAAATTTTGCTTTGTAGTACATGCTTTTTATCAGATTTGGATTTCCCGCTTTTTTGTTAAATTTTTTACCAATTTTTCTTTGCTATAAACCTCAGAGAGTTCGAGACCTTACCAACGAATGCAAAACCGGGGAATTCTGTTCGTGCGTTCTGGAGGTTTATATAGTATTGTATAGTACTATGGATGACGAATAAATATAATATTTAAGAACATTTCAAAACATTAATAAAAATAAAAATTGTAGTATTTATTATAATATAGGTATGCCACAGATGAGCAAACCAAAAGAAACAAAATTCCAAATAATTCCAAAGACTGGTTTCTTTCCTTTATGATTTTGTATAATTATATTGTGTTTGAGTTGAACAAATAGTATTAACATCTTTAATAACATTGTCCTTCTTCTATTATTACATTAGCTGACTTTCGGTCATTGCTATTCTTATAACCGGGATTACATATATGATTAGCATATATTATCTTACTGACACTAGCCTTTAAAATCCTAAAATTAACTTCACTGTAATCCAAGGTACTATACAAAAAAATTGGTAAACGATTGCTCATTATCCACACATTTTGTTGCTCTTCGTTATCCACTTTTAAATCATTTGGGAATTGGAGGATGGTATTGGAGCCGTTATAACTTTGATTGAAAAGTAACATCATATTCCCGCGAGTATATGGCTTTGCAGTGTCCCAGCAACCAATGTTATCCCGGTGAACTTGTGTGTAAAACATGACTCCATCTCTTGTGATTCCGGAAGTTGATGACTGACTTTTGTATCCACGGTCTCCAATGGAAACAAAATATTTGGCGGTTTCCTGGCTACTTGTTTGCCATATGAACTCATTTATTAAGAGGTCCAAAGGCACCATAAATTCCTGTAACAAAGATTTAAATAAATTTATTTATAAAGTGTCAGCGAAGTCGTCAAATTTATTTCGTCTCCTCTTTGCTCGTACAACGTGCACATCCACCTGCACTCAAATATGACTCATTGGCAAAGAACGGTGATACAGTGCCGACGAGACAGAATCCTCCACCAGCGACTTTAAGGAAATTAAATCTAAAATAAAAATTTTTAATTTTTGCCGAATAATTTTAAATTGTCGGCAAATAATTATCACCACACTCGTAAGCTATTTAATAGCTAGTCCAACTAGTTTCGGTTTTGATTTTTTATTTTCCTTAGCCAAAATCAAAGGTTTCCAAATAAATGTAAAATTATTGTCAAATATTTATTAACTATATTATGCTATACTCCGATTACGATTGGTTCCTAAATTCTAAATCTAAATAAAAAGGTGGCGAACTTATAAACCGTTTCGAAAATACCAAAACATGAATGTTTACGACGAAAGACGCTTATTTTCGAGAGGCAGTGTGATCCAGCTACAAACCACGAAATGTCACGTAGGGTCCCTCTCCCTTTTCAGTCAGTCCAAAGAGCTTTCAATCCGCTTGCCTACGCTAGCTTTTATTTAGATGTAGTTAGTTATATATCACTCCCCAATCAGTAAAGATCCGACGCACGTCGCGTAATGCTCCGAAATAGTTTCCGTGTTTTTATTATTGAGTGGAAGTATTTTAGAGTCGCCCCCCTCCATTTCCCACTAAACAATTTAAAAGGTCATTAATTAATGGTATCGGATAATTGCTCTTCGCCATGATTTTGGTCCATTTTCTAAAATCTATACAAAATCTAAGTTCCCCGACGTTTTCTTCTTCACTAACACATTGAGCGAAGCGTTCTCCGATCTACTAGGTTGGATAATTCCATCTCTAATGTATTCTTCTAAAAATTTTTATAATTCTTCCTTTTTTACAATATGACAGTCTCCTTGGTGCACTGATAAATGGTTTAGTTTTTATAAACTATATTAATTTCACATTTTACTTTCGGAACTACAGGTCGTACATACGGCGGGCAATACGGCAATACGGGCAATACGGCGATCATCTGTGCCGCAGCCATAGCACGAACCTGGCCCTCTTTTTGGCTTTAAGCACTCCCTCATCCAGTGCCTCTTTCCGTTGCAATTGAAACAGCGCAACGAGCAGCGATTTGAAACCTCCTTCGCTGCAGAGACCTTCGATGTTGTTGACGCTCTTGCTGGCAACTTGATGTCCGAAAATGCTCGTAACATACTTCCTGGGCCATCTAAACATTGCAGTTTAGCCTTCGTTCGGAGACTTGGTATTGGGATGCCCTCTACGAGCCCATCTACCAGATCATCATCTTCCATCGCCACGTCTCGAGCCAATCTGAACTTCTCCTCAAAATACAAGCAAATTGCTCATCTGACGACCAGACCCGCGCCTTAATATCGCTTTAGATTCGATGCCCCCAAAAGCTGACTTCAGTTCTTCGATAAGCTCATCTATGGGTTTCGCAAACCGTCCGGCATCAGCATGCAGCCATTGTAGGGAATCTCCTTTAAGTTTGCTGATCAGCAAAATTCGCCGCTGCATGTCTGTCAACCTATGTAGGGCCGAAATGTTGTCCCATCCGTCAATCCATGACCGCATACAGACTTTGCCACCGAAGTCCGTCAGAATTTCCCTGGCCATGTTGACACCAGTTGATGCAAAGCTCTCCGTTGCCATTCTGATGCCATCTCGCTGCCATGTACTTTCAGCGTTGTTTCTGTCGCTGCCTCTGCCCTCGTCTCTGCCGCCATCTCTGCCCTTGCCGCGTTTTATATTCTGGCAGCTTCTGTTAAGTGGCTGTTAAAAATTCTCGAAACTGTTGTTGCTACCCCTTGTATCATTGTACCGTTGTACCATTTCATTACTTCAGTTTTCCAATAAAAGGACAAAAATTTTCTACCGAATCCCACTACTGATGTTAGTGACCGCTTCTTAGTTTTCCACTTCACTTTATTTATTTATTTAACAATTTGTTTTTCTCCTTTCTTGTCATTATTTTTCTTAGGTTAGCTCTTCTTTCACTTACAACCTCCTTTGGTTTGGTTTGTCTCAGAAAGTGTTTTCTCACTCTTGGCTAATATACATCGACCCCCATTTTACACGGAGTAGCTTGATGATCTCTCATGAGAACGTAACCACTTAATTAATGTGACCAGAGCATGGTAATACTAACTAGCCTGCAACATATATGTATTTCTGTGTATATTTATAAAATAGGTAAAGTAGAATTTACTTAAAACAAGAAAGGAAGCTAACTTCGGCACGTCGAAGTTTATACACCCTTGCAGATAGAACTTCGATGACTTGGAATGCAGACAATATAAATTATATATATTATATATTTTAAAAACAATGAAGTAATACCTGCTTTCATTTCATTCACCTATACATATTATATTTTCAGTTTTACATTCACATACTTTAATTTTTAGTCGTTTGATTTTCATAAAATTTGAGACAAAATTGTAGAGTAATATAAATTGGCAAAGTCTCAATTTAATCAAATTCTTTTGAAAACGGAAAATTTTCTAATTTTTAATTGTATTAATTTCTCGATCGTTCCTATGGGAGCTATATGATATATAATATACATACATAAAATGTTACATAAAAATGTAACATAATATAATATGGCTATATCTCAAATTTGATCAAATTCTGTTGAAAAATGAAAATGTAATTATTTTTTTTGGAAAAATTATCCGATCATTCCTATGGCAGCTATATGATATAGTCGTCTGATCTGGCCCGTTCCGACATATATACGAGTGAGAGTATATAGGATGCTAACTACAAAGTTTCATTCAGATATCTTCAAAACTGAGAGACTTGTTAGCGTAGAAACGGACAGACGGACATGGCTAGATCGACTCGACTGTTGATCCTGATATATGTATATACTTTATATGGTCGGAGGTGCCTCCTTCACTAAGTTGCAAACTTCTGACTGAAATTATAATACCCTGCAAGGGTATAAAAATTACAACAGATTTTCAATAGTTCAAATTTTGCGCTGTTTTTATTTACATTATTTTTTCTAGGAAGCAGAATATATTTTGTGTGCATTTGTGCCTCTTATTGCATGCAAAAGCTTTACTGTTGTATTATATAATAAAAACTAGAAAGGAACCAAACTTCGGCACGGCGAAGTTTATATACCCTTGCAGATTGAACTTCGATCTTTAGGAATAAATACAATATAAATTATATATGTTTATTTTAAGAAACAATGAAGTAATGCCTGCTCTGATTTCATTCATTCATATCATATTTACAGTTTTACATTCATAGATTTGCAAAATTTTAATTTTTGATATCGGAATATTTCGTTTTCTTATCGTTTATTGCTTCTTAAATAGCTGGAACCTTGTCTGGTCAAACGCATACAACGTGAAAAATGCCTTTTTTATTTGATATGGATTACATTATCAAATATGAATTAAACTGCAAACAGCTGCTTCCCTCTAAAAAGAGCCAAATTTTTCACTGTTTTAATTTCGCTTGCCCCCAATACTTATTTGCTGCATTTTGAACCATTTAAGTACTTCAATTAAATAGCCATTATTTTTAAACAATGTTTTTGATCCTCCATTAAAATTATTAATTCTTATTGCCGACGGCAAATCTGGGGTAGGTTTAGGAAAAAAATTATTGGTGCCGAGTAAACATCAATAGACCACAGAATAAATTTTTTTTTAACCTTATCAAATAAGATCTGATTTGATGTAGAAGCAGGCATATACTCTTCATTTCGGTTAGACAAAGGTGCCCGTTTCTCAAATTGCGAGAATCATGTTAAAGTGAAAATGGGAGCACCGATTTTCATTTTCAAAATCGAAATCGGTAAATTTTTGCGAAAGTGAACACCGGAGCAGGCATATATATCTAAAATATGATGAAAATATGTTGAATAATAATTTTTAATTGTAATTCTAGAAAGTAGTCCGATTTGTATAAAATTTAAAGCAAAATTCTTGATGAAAATCTATTGAAAACTGGAAAGGTTATAGATTTTATTATTTTTAATTTTCGGATCGTTCCAATGGCTGCTACATACTTACATACGAGAGAGAGTATATAGAAGACTAACTGCATTCAGTTCGCTTTAAAACTGAGAAAGTAGTTTGCGTAGAAACCGAAAGACTGATTTTCTTTGGTTACATTGATTTCCGCGCGAAATATATAGCCATTTCGTTGTGAAAAGTCTTATGTCAATACCAGGCTTTAAATCGATTACAGTTTTAATGTCCGGCATTAAACTAAATTTTATTAATGTAATTTAACAAAATAAATGGAATAAACTAATAGCCTAATTTAATAGAGAAGACAATAGAGACACTGCTGAACGCAACCAATAATAATTGTTAAGCGAATTTGCCTCAGTGTCCGTCAAAAATTTCTAGCTTCTAGCTTTCTAGCCTCCACGAGGGCGCCGGATGGCAATGGGCACTGAATTATCCTGTACAACGTGGTAATGCAGTGTCTAGCTGAGGTTTCGTTTCAATTTCTCCCGCCCAAACGCTTGAGGAAATGAATCACTAGCCATGGTTGGAAGTGGAAGAGAGCCTTCTCTAGCTCCCCATGCAGTGACTGACCGAAACGGTTAAGCGAGAGCATGAAAGCTAAGGCGCAGTGCAAGGCGTCTCTCTAGATCTAGAGTCCACTCCAGGATAAGGCGTACCTCTCCCTAGAAGAATAGGCAAAGCTAGCCTGGGCCGAGCAAATTATTAAACAAGGCTGGCTTGTAGCTTTCGGATATATCCCCAATAGGTGGATTTGCTAATAAAGTGGAGGAGCTGCTGGCCAGCAAAAGGCAACGCTCCGCCAGGAGCGTAATTAAAAATGCTCCGGCGACGCGGGTCAAAATCCCGAAGTGTATGGACGACTCAATTTGGAAATGGCTGACGGAAACGGTCGGCCAAATGGAAGGGCTGTGGGAGGGGGCCAAGCT